AAAGACCTAATAGTAATATCATCTCCCTATAGATAAAATTTCAGGCAATTTCATATTGCTGCAGTAGATGAAAAGCCCATTGCAGTGCAGTAAAGCCTATTGTAGATGAATTTCCAATGCAGAGCATTCAAACCAACCTGTTAGCAAAAAGATTCCGTCACACAGATTCGTCCGTCTTAAAAAAAATCCGGACAAAGGACATGCTTTTGGATTTTCTGTGAACAAGTTACGGAAAGTACAAGAATCGGCGACAGTCCACATCAGGCCTACTCGTCAGCGCCGACATCGCTATGTTATGTTACGTTATTTAATTGACTATAGTCTCAATTCTTCAATGTAATTTTTAGTCGAGGATCCATCGTCCTCAAGAATTGGCTGTTTGAAGCAGTCTATGGGAAAATAAAGCAGATTGAAACGATAAAGCAGACTTCCTGTTCAACTTTTCAGTTATTGTCATTATCAATTTTATTTAAAATGTAATAAAAGGCGAAGTATTCAAGATATATGGGCCAGCAAAGTTACGTGGCTGGATTAACAGATGCATTCACGAGCGACTGTGTTAGAGAAAAAGCTAAATTTTTTTTTTGTTGAACCGGAAAAATCCCCATGCGAGTCGATTTGATAACATTTGCAGGACACACTTGGTATAGCATAGTAGTATCTGCGTTGAGGAATAGGCCAAGTTCGACCTGTCTCGGATTGTTGTAATATTCTTGAATTGTCTCTTGGATATTTGAGAATATAGATATTTGATATATAGATTATCTATATCTATGAGAATATAGATTTGATCTATATGAGAATATAGATTTGAACAGATATTTGATCTGTTGACATAGGTAATCAAGTAGCTGCTAAAAATACGTCAGTTTGCGAGAATAGGAACGCACTTCATTTTATGGTCAAAATACATATAGCTTCTTCCACATACCGCTGGTGCTGATGGACGGCAACCAATTAAGTAGAAGGTTTTAAGATAGTGTGAAATTTTGGATTTTCTGGGACTTAAGTTTTTTGGAAAGATTAAAAAATCGTTATTACATTTTTCAAATAATTTGCAATGCGATGACGGACTATTGTTTTATGTATACCTGCTCCTCGCGAACGAAACGATATATTTCCGTTTATAATGCAGAAATATATCGATATATCAATCTATACCAGATACTTACCTTCGATACGGGCTAATGAATGAATAGTAGTGAAAACAGTCAGTGTCACCTCAGCGAAAATAGGTGTCTACGTACAGTCTGCTGCATGCGAATGCATGTTTAATTAGCAAGCCCAGGGCTGTTCCCATCCTATAACATCTTACTAAATTTGGGACAGGCAACTATGTAATCCCATAGGAACGTCATATATAAAAAAAAACTACACTAAAATGTGTTTTATTTGTATAGGCAGCCTAGAGATATTAGGCTGAAAACATCATTGTCAATCAATGCCTATATATGTCAATCAATCAAGAGTTGTCAATCAATGATTGCTATAATTTAAATATATACTATGATACAAGCACATCCAAGTTAGTTTACTTTTGAATTTGGTTCGGAATAATACTGTTGCCTACATTAATGGCAAACGTCCTAATAACTGATGAGTACCAGCATTTATCGTTCAAGGTAGCATAAGAATCGAGATTATTGTTCTCTTTTTCTCGATGTGGAATGGTTTAAACTACGTTTTTTGTGAGATTGTATCCGTTGTTCCATTCACAGCATTTTGCATTTATGCATCCATGCGAACTGTTTCCATATCATCGAGTGGACGAGCCAATCTGAACACGTACTTGTGAATAATCCTTTCAATTTAATTAATAAGTCTGCACAAAGACCAGTTGGCACACAAAGACCAGTCTGAAGGAAAACAAAGCCGTTTTTTCTTAAAAATTTATACAATGTATCCTACTAATCATGCGGCTGCAGCATCTTGCCGTAAAATATACTGGCAGCCTGATCATTAGTACAAATATTGTGCACGTCAACTGGGGTCTCGACGCGCGGGAAACTTTGGTAAAATGATTTCCACATTTTGATGGCAAATAGTTGACATTTTATGAGTTTTCGTTCAATTTTTCCAACAATTTTGAAGTTGTAAGCAACGAAGGTCATCATTTGTGTGCAAATGGGAAAAATTAGTATGTGAAACACGAGCCGGATTCATACATTTTTCAGTACATGCCTCATTTGAATATCATTCAGATTCCACCAACGGTTTGTTTGAATGAATATGCTGAAATCACCTATCTGTTTGTATTATCAATCTCAGGCGTGTGCCGGAATCGGTGCTTCGTGGACACGCGGTGCCTGGCGGTGTCCATCACTCAGGCGGCCTCCGTGTCCAAGTGTTACTTCAGCAGCAGCGCCTCGGTGCTCACCAACTTACTCATCACAGACCCGGCCTTCATCACCTTCATAAAGAAAAGTGGTATTGTTTAATTGTCTTTCCTAAAATTTTGTTTCAGAATTATTTGAAGAGAGTTGTTATAGTACTTTGACAGGATATAAAATGCCAAATTTGAATATTATCGTGCAGAATGTTTCTTAATACAGATAATTGTGGAAAATAATATGTTTTCTTCTACATACATCAGAAAATCGAAAACAAACCTCAAGTAAACCTATCTGTCATTATATTTTGAAGCTCTAACAGGTTTTAGCGTGTGGAATTGTGATGTTGTCAAACAACAGTCAAAATATATTCTACCTACAAGTTATGAGACCCTCAATAGTCTATAATTAATTCATTTGAATGCATTACTGCTTCAAATTCTATTCCGCTGATAAATTACTCCCCAACATTGGTAACATTGGATATTTTTGGTGGAAATTTTGATAATTTGTGGCTAACAATTTCTTTTATCTCCCATCAGATGCGTGTATGCCAGGCTTTGAAGCTGTGGGCAGATTCTGCTATTTTTTCTCCACCAACGCAGTCAACTTTGCTACGGCTAAACGCTCCTGCCCATTGGGCAGCGTGCTCGCCTATCCATCCTCTGCTGCCCAAATGGCTGATCTCGTGGCTTACCTCAACAGCAGTGAGTCAAAAACACTCGGTTCAATTGTTCTTTTTAGGTTGAAAGTGAACGAGAAGTCGAGGATTTCCACTGATACGTTTACTACGCTCAATCGATTTCTTAACAGCTTGTTCGGTTTCAGGCATTTTGACACTGCTTTTAAAATCGTGCATTTGCAATCATACACCAGCTGACACATTACTTCAAGATCAAGGCATTATATTGTCTCATTGGCTTTTGCGGAATAATTTGAGAGCTGTCTGAGTTGGGACGTTGATTAATAAGGTAAATCGACGCTCAATGTAACAGTATTACGACTTTTCACTAATGCTTTCAGAAAAAATGAAAATATGTGACATAATGGAATTATGAATTTCAAGGACAGAATGTTGAAATCACTACAAATTATATTCGGTTCAGTTTTGACGTGTTTTAAAAAGATTGATTACAAAGATTGGCATAAGAACGTCTTTATTTCCTACCAACAAATAAAAGTTGAGCTGCAAATAAGCTTGGAATTTATCATCTTCAATCGATGGAGCTACAAATAGGATTAAACGAACTTCTGTAGGTTCAATCAGCAAGCAGCAAGTAAACTTTAAATAATGCAATAATATACCAGATTATTTTAATTCAATTACTCAGTTCTATTTCTGTATCACTATACATTTTTTGTTAGTCATTTAATTCACTCAGTCATTCGTCCTTCTCATGAGGTCTCACTCAGTTTGCGAGCTGGACTTAAATCAGTCGGGATCCCGCAATTCGTTTTCATTGAGAGACATGAATCGATAACTGCTCTGAGGATAGTGTTTGGGTATGCCTGCATGGGGCAAAGTTAAAATTAAGGGCTGTACTTTTTGTTGTACCGAGACGGCTAGCTACATTCAAATAGCAAGGGACTCTGCCCGCGGGACCTAACATACAAAGTTTAAGAATAACAGAGTGCGAAATAGTACACGTAACGTATATACTTAATCCTTTGATATTTAATGAGAGGCTAACATAATAAAATTGTCATGGTAATGGAAATACTACTACAACATGCGAAAATGCTAACAAAAAGTCAATGAAAAGAGTTCAGGGCTAGTAGAGCTCAGCTACAGACTAATGATCCCCACGTCTTACGAAAAATGCGTTTCGTAGTCATAGTCGGAGTCAAACTTTTCATCTTCAGTCATAGTTGAAGAGTTTCGGCGACTTAAAATCATGTAGCCAAAAATTGACCCGCTAAATTGTGACCTCTCACTTGAATGATATTTAATCTTTCATTGACAGGAGTCATTTTTTTCCACGAAAGTCATGGCTTTAGTGGGCCAAATTCATACAATAATCTTCCACACTCCCGCTGAAGAATCTTACTTGAATTACAGAAAGAAAAAATGAACTTAGATTATCTGAGAACAATTTTCGGGCTCCAAGCTATAAATTTCAAATTTTAAATAAATTTCAATGTTCAATTTCAATAAATTTTCGTGCTATAAATTTCCATGGATGGTTCTATAGGCTTGACGAATGCATTTTCTTGCGAATGTTTTATTTGAAGCTCGAGTGGAGCTGTGAATTTTTTTCGCATAAACCTTACATTTTCCAATATGCGTGCTATTTATAGCCCGATATACGTATGTATTCGTCAAACGCTTATATAATTGATTTGAATCAAATTTAACGAAATAAAATCAGGTTTTCTATCTCAAATTCATTAACATTGTATTCTCAATGAATGCACACTTCCATTAATTTTATGATATGAGTAATTGAGAGCGTGTTTCTTACTTTACAGACAAGTCTGGAATAACCGGCTGGTGGGTGGACTTGACTCTGATTAAGGGAGAGTGGTTCTGGAGTGACGGAACGGCAACTACTGCAGCAACTTTGGGAAGCAATAACAATGAAGCCTGCGCCAGACTCGATGCTCCCCCCAACTACGCGCCCTGGGACATATCTTGCACGAGCACTTACCGTTACGTTTGTCAGTACAAGGTGTGAGCTTGAGTTCTCCTCTGTGCTTATTGTACTGGTGAAATCACTTATTTAACTTAACCGGTCAAACCACTTAGCCACTTACTTATTGAGTTTTCCACTGTACTTATTGTACTCGACATTCCGCTCACGAATATATTACAACAGGTAAAATTATCCTGCTCTATGAATTCCGAACGCACGTAAACGTAATAAATTTACCAACATACATGGAATTATTTTTTAGAAATTTCAGAGAATGTCGAGAAGAACTGAGCACCATTCATGAATGATCTTCTAATTAATATAATATTTTTTAGACGATGAAATATTCATATATAATGACAGTAAAAACACATTCCGCCTTCAAACCTGCCATGGTTTTTGAACGAGTTCAAAATTAAAATCAGAACCACGTCACAAATTCCGTTTAAATGTTCGAAATGTGCAAATAAACAGCAATGAATTTACTACGGTCAAAAATTCTTTTTAAATATTCGATAAACATAAATAAACGGGAGTTCCTATTCTTATGTTCGAACTGCCTAAATTGCCAGCGGTGTGCGAACAACTAAAATTACAAATAGTACATTGTTCAGAGTTGACAATTCGGTTTTAGTTCTCTAACTGAACTTTTTGTCAGTAGAAAATGGTCCAAAGTCGAAAATCCTGTTCCATTGTTCAGACTGCACATATTATCAGTTGGGTATTATTTTGAAGTCAGATATTCTGTACCATTATTCAAACTGAACAAATTACATTGAATGCATTATTAAAAGTCAATAAATTAGATCAAAATGTTAGAGCTGAAAAAATTTACCTGTAGTTCATTGTTCAACGTAAAATATTTTCTTATGTTCGAACTGCACAAATAAGCACTAGTGCATGTTCAAACTGCTGAAATAAACTGCAATGTATTGTTACCACAGCCCAAATTACCGGTAGTGCATTGCTTTATCTGCATAAATTTCCAGCACTGCACAGTTTAAATTGCACAAGTTACTTGATATTGATTGTTCAAACGGCACAAAAATATGCAGTTCAAAGTATAAACTGCACAAATTACCAGCAGTGTTTTGCATAAACTACCCATATTACCTCCAGTACATGTTTAACTTCACAAATTAAATGCGATGCATTGTTCAACTTCACGAGTAACCTGCGGTTAACTGCTTAACTTCACAAATAACCTGCAGTGCATTGCTTAACTTCACAAATAACTTGCAGTGCATTGCTTAACTTCACAAATAACCTGCAGTGCATTGCTGAACTTCACAAATAACTTGCAGTGCATTGCTTAACTTCACAAATAACTTGCAGTGCATTGCTTAACTTCACAAATAACCTGCAGTGCATTGCTTAACTTCACAAATAACCTGCAGTGCATTGCTTAACTTCACAAATAACCTGCAGTGCATTGCTGAACTTCACAAATAACTTGCAGTGCATTGCTTAACTTCACAATTAACCCGCAGTGTATAGTAAAAACTACACTAATTACCAGTAGTCACTGTTTGAAAGACTTTCGCACAGCTCATGATGTTCAAAATGTCAGGTGGACGAGGTTGACATTCTACCAGTAACGTGAACGCAATTGAGAAGAATCTTGAAATTTGATTGAGGTGTTTTTCAATGAACTTTTGTGAATGAATTTAATTATGACTGGATTATCGCCTATGTGGCTGTAATTACGAAATTTCAACTATATTATATTTCGCATGAAATAAAGACATGAGGTCATGGGGCCAGAAGGCAAAGTTGATCGGAATTGGTAATGTCATTAATTTACATCTAACTTTAGTTATATTGGAGTATTAAAATAATTAAATACCTAATTTGGACTTATTCGCGGATGTATAAGCAGTTAGTACGTTGTTGCGAGCCAATTTACTTGACTTGACGTACGTATCGATGATACGCAGCGTATCATCGATATACGCAGTCTAAACACGAATATCCTCTCGAGGATGACGTGCATTGAAGGTTCTTAACCCCTGCTTGTGAGTTCCTTTAGAGTTTATAACTACTGCACAAAGGTCAGCCATCCTACATAATATTCATTTTATTTCAGTTGGCCACGCAAATGTACGAAAGAAAATTCTTTCCGAAGTTCTGTAGAAAATTTTATTCGAGGGGATACATTGTTGTTCCGCGGCAGCAGCGTCCACAATTTCTCGGTCGACATTTCATTGAATAAATACGCCTGGAAACGTGCAACAAATTATTGATTATTGTATTGTCATCGGGAGCTGAGCTTCCCTAAAAGTTTCAGAGCGCTAGCTAGCGGGAAAGTTGGTGAAATATCGATTGCAAGATTTGATCATCACAAACAGACAGACAGACAGACGGACACGAAAGCGAGCTAAGAAAAACGTGGTAATAAATGGGCCCATGGCCTGTTGCCGATTCTTGAGCTTTTCGTGACTTGATTCACAAGGGATCCGGCCTTTGCAACCCGATCTTTCCATAACTGACGATTGCATAGATAACCGAAATGCTTTCCATAACTGAACAGATGCATAGCATCATTATAACTATATATACCGTCGAAGCAAAATGTTGTCTGTGCCGATTCTCGTACTTTTCTTGAGTTGTCCTCAGGAGATCTTAGAACAGGTCCTTCGACAGGATCTTTTCCAAACTGACGATAGTTTGAAATAAGTAGCTACTGGACTTCCATTGGGTTCGATATGGAGCTAGGAATTTCAAGTATGAACATATATTTCTACATCGCTTTGTCCTGTCTGTTCTTGATCGCGTTTATACTCGGAGCGTCAACGATGTAATAGGGGAGGCTGTTCCACATGTCGGTAATTCGAAGCAGAAGAAATGTTGTCGCGTGAATGAGTTGCAACATACGTAGGTGTCCAGTTTATAGCCGTGGCTTCTGGTGTTGGTTCTTGCCTCAAATTCTAGTAATCCTTCTCGGACCTTGTATAAACCATAAGTATACTTGTATAATTAAATGAGGTCCCACGCAGACGTCGATAATTGAGGCTTAGAAGCTTCATAATTTTCAATTTTTCTTCATATGCCTTGCCCTTCAAGCCTGGAATTATCCTTGTTCCACATATTTGAACACTCTCTACTCAATTCTTGTCCTTTTCAAGTTTCGGTGACCTCACGGCGTTTCCAAATTTTAAATTCGGACGCACGGCAGCAACAAACACAAACTTTATCGCTTCTGCATCTAGGAACCCGTAGGAGCGTCTGATCAGTCTAAAAAGTTTGTTGGATTTATTAGCTTGCGTTTCAATATGCTTGAGAGCAGCTCTTTTCCGACATAAACTCCCAAATCTCTTTCCACACTAGACTTTTCAACAATTACTTTCTCGTTGCAACTATGCCATCTCATACTGTAATTTTGCTGTTCTTGTTCATCCCGAAGTGAAGTACTTTACACTTGTCAGCGTTAAAATGCAGCTGCAGCTGCCACGTGTCAGCCCAGTTAACTAAACTGTCAAGATCATCTTGTAGTTGCTCTTTATATGACGCATCCTTCACTGTATTATAAACTTTTGCGTCGTTGGCATACAAGTTTTATTATAGATAGGACAGTCTTGATAATTTTCATCCAAGAAGTTATCGTCTCAAAAATTTTGAAACAGCACTCAGAAAAATGAATGGCTCAAATAGTGACATAATTTCTGCAAGTAGTACTGTTATACCTTATCACCAGAGGCAAATTGGGTTAGGGTGACCCACACGAGGCAGAAATTGCATCGCAATTTGAATTAAGTCTCGCTTGGATTTATTTTCGCTGAGAGTGAGTTATTCGTGGCGTTGCCAATTTATATAAACTCTTGCAGTATTTGCTGATACAAGCATTCAGGCAACAGCAAAGAACGTTGATTGATCGTCATATGTCCGAGTTCAGGATCGTAGAACAAAATTACTCGAAAAAAAATAGAGAATAATTTCGTTACGGAATAAAATTAACTTCTAGTCAAAATTAGTTAAAGGAAGAAGCTGAATTGTAATTCCTAAATCATGTTAATGATCACGCAATTAAATCGCTTTTTCACGGTTTTCATTTCTGCCGCGACGTTCTGGTGAACGATGCGCCTCGACTAAGTTCGTTTTTCAGAAGACCTCAATTATGTTACTTATTCTTATTCAGAGACCCTTAACCCTCTACCGCCTGACATGAGTAACCGGAGCATATTGTCACAAGCCTACTTTCCAAAAAAGGATACGTTCTAGTGAGAGCTAAATGACTTGCACTGATGGTTGCCGCCACGTACAACTTTAAAATGTTTTCTGTTGCGTACAAACGTCTTCAGGTTGCTACACTCAATAGCTTACGTATAATTTAAGTTGAAAATTATGTTCCCGGAAAGTGACATACGGCGGTAGAGGGTTCAGGATGATCGAGATGTTCATACTGTACCTGCTAATGTATTTAATCTTAATCGTAAACTTGTTTCAAATTTTAATGATTTTACCAGAATGGAATGTGACAATCTTAATGTACCCAAGACCTATTCACTCATTTTTAGCGATGATTCATTTTTTACAAATTTCATAACTGTATTGTTTAATTGCCTTTAATGTTTTGTCCGACGGTTCAGCAGACTCTTTCAATATGGATTTTTGGCTGTGGCTAAAACAATCTTTATCGTTCCAATCAGATGTTTTGAGTGAATTGTCTCATCACAATGTATTTAATGTCGCTCGCAGTAATATTAGTCACGAATCTTTGTCCAGGTAAGCGAAGTTGTAGTCGAGCGCCAGAACCTTGAACAATCATTGAGTTGTCACTTGGAATATAAGCAAGATAGCTTACGCTCATTCAGAGCTAATGTGTCTGGGGAGACGTTTAGCGTAAAATGACATATTCATGATGAAAGATTTCGTCCCGAAATGGTTGCTGATTATTAACTTCTGATATTGTTCAGAAATTACGTAATCTTAAAGCAGATAAACGCATTGCTCGGTCATGTGGCCCGGTCGAAGAATATCCTCGTGTACAACCTACTGCTGTTGAGCGAATGAAAAGAATTGTGAAAAATAAAGCGTGCAATATTGTGCAAATAGACTTTGTTTGGTGAATAAATAGGTATTTCCTATATATTTGACCAAAGTGCCATTTCATTTTAGCTTCGGATTGTCATCTAGGATTTAATAAACGTGTAGTTTACACGTCCTTGGTTTGCAAAGAATCCGTAGTGAGAAGTTCTAATGTGAATTTCCAATTACTAGAGTTATTTCTTGAAAAAATGGCCTATTGTATCGTGTTATGTTCTCTTGAGCAAAGTGCAACAGTTATTGCACTTGAGGGGGAGCGATGTAGTGGTAAGCATTAGTTTGTTATCTTATTTCTTAACTGATTTGGTTTATGTATTCAAGTATTCATATTATATATGACTTTTATCCAGTGATATCTGTAGCTGAAGAATAGGTTTTACCGATGGTTCATTCGTGTTCCAGAACACTGGCAAATAATCTGGATCGTAACCCAAGCC